GAGCGAGAGAAAGGCATGATTACACTGCTCGTTGATTGACGCTGCCTTGGCTACAAATGAATTTCAGCCTATAACTTCATCACCTGTCTCTGACAGACCGCAGAAGAGAGGATTGCTGTACCAGCCGGGAGTTGGGCCAAGAGGGCCTTCGTCGGGCTGGCAATCATTTTGAAAATGATGGTGATGTACAGTTACAGCCTACTGACCGACCCTCATGCTGAGGATACTAAGGAGGCTGAAAGGCGCGATCATGGAGATGGTGCTGGGGGCGTTGCGAGACTGGAGGCAACAGGTGGGTCAAGCCCCTCAAATGTCAGAGAGCTCGGGTTCACTTCCCTTTCTTGTAATCCCGCATCTCCAGCATTCCGTATTTCTTGGCCCATATTGGAAAGATTAATGAAATTAACAATAGTCAGGCAATGACTGAAGATCTTCTGACAACTGACAGACTCAACAGGCGGATAACTTGGGATTGTCCAGCATAATTTTAATTCTATCGTTTTGTATGTGTTCAGGCAACTCTGAAAGTCTCTGCATTTATGCCAGTATACATTCATTTCAACCGCCATGTTGGCGAATATGTTTCGAAGCATGAATTCTTTCTAAAGCCAAGAGGCATCGTCTTTTCTCGGTATCACAGCAGACATTTTTCGCAAATAGCAGCTGCTGTTGGGTGTTTCCATCGACAGACAATCTCCTGTTTGCTATTAAACTCAGTAGCTTACTCTGGAAATTCATCGTTCCCAATGTAATATTGGGAACTAAATTAATATAAATATAAATATATATATATATTAATATAACTAAATATGAATATTAAACTAATACAAAATAGTGAATTTTAACAAGTAAGTGTTGTTTAGGGGCCGGTTTTTAAAGGGTCTCTAATGTTAATCACCTTGTTGTGGCTATTAGTTCCATGAATACGTTTTAAGTTAAAACAATCAATTTCATGTTACACTGTCACAAATAATCTTTTGAGCTTGATGAGGAGCCCGAGTGTATTAAAATTCTTAGTTGTTCTGAAGGATGACTTTTTCTGCCATTTTAATCTGTAGAAGCTCGTCGCCTGGTCTTGAATAATTATTTGGCATAAGTTATCCCCTTCAGATCCTCGGGCCAGAGTTACAGACAAATTTTGGCGATGACGCTCCTACGGTCAGAAGCAAATAAAATTACTACTCATTTTGTGCAGCATGGAGCAGGTAGCTTGGGGTGAAGGAAATATCGATAGTTGGATTTCCTATAATGAAATGAATAGAATGATGTCAGAAATTTTTCTTCGGCCTTGCTTATTAAGAGACCTTTTTAGGACTCGCCCAGGTCTCATTACCCCGTCAGGCTAGAACGGAAACAAGATTTGTGGTTTTCAGCCCAGATGCAAATGTGAAAAGAAGTGGATGCGACTTTTAAGGTACACCATACCTCTCGCAAAAAATGCATATAGTGCAACTTGTATCAACAAGGGAACACATATTACTTACCATTACAACCGGCAAAATTGAATATGCCCATTCAGGTTCGTAATCGAGATATGTTGATAGTATCGAAACTTTTTTGTCTATCTGATGCCCGGCTTGTGTATGTCTATTGTTGGTGGAAGATCCAAGGTTTTAAGAAACCTCATTGGAATTAGAAGATCATCATTTGTCGATTGGTGCTTCATTCACCGATTCTTAATATGTCCGGTGTGAAATAATAGCTCTCTATTTTGCCACTGAACTACAACTTTTAAATGCCTTACAATTATATGCAGAGGGTACGCATTTTTCATGTAGACTTCTGATGACCTGGATTAAAATCTATTCCGAGGTGCTGATGATTTAAAGCCTTGGTCGAAACTGAAATCCGTACCGAATTAGAACAAAAATTGGGTTTATTTACAGGGCAAATACCTTCGCTGTACTTTATCAACTATCAGTGCCCATCTAAAGCCATCTAAAGCCTCTTACGAGTGAGTTCAAATATCTTCCGAACCTGAGGTTCTTTAATCGAATGTATAAAGACCAGGATGGTATGGCCTTTTGTATGTTCGCGATCTCCTCTAGTTGCATAACAGTTGTTTGACCTTGGTTTCGCAACTTGGTCATATTAACAGAGAGGCGTTTGGCCTTCCTGAAGGTAAAGGTCATTCGCTTTACTAGAACGCTGAGAAGGAAATTGTTCTGAAAGAAGTCATATGCCGGAATAATATTCAATTTTGAGTGTCATGGCAACTAAAGAATGAAGATAGGCATACTGAGGAGTATGCTCATCAGAAGCCTAAGATTAACAGACGTGGAATTCTGGAATTAAGTATTGAAAAGAATTAACTTGGATATTCATCGGTAATGGATATTCGAGATAGGTGCTACAAAGAAATATACTGGCTGCGAAGAGCCGATGGCAGGATGGAGATTATGAGAGAAGAATTAAGATGAAGAAAGACATACAAAAGTTGATACATCTCGCTTCCTATGAACCGTGGCCAATATTAAGAAAATGGAATATTCAGGTGACCACGAAGGGAAAAATAGCACTCTTCACAAGTCTACCTAGGCAGCATGAGAGGGTAGATAAATAGGATAGTTCAGGAGTTTACTGCATAGCATGTGGTGCCTGTGAACAGAAATA